GGCTCGAGTTGTCCTCACTGGTCACGCAGACGCTTCCTGGGCTGACGACTTGACTACGCAGCGGTCGTCACAGGGTTACACCTTCAGCCTTGGCTCCGGCTCTATCTCCTGGCGGTCTACCCGCTCGTCTTGTGTTCTCAGCTCCAGTTGTGAGGCTGAGATCTACGCTGGGGCCATGGCTGCACTGAAGCTACGCTGGCTCACCTACCTGCTGACTGACCTGGGAGAGGCGCCTCGTTCTCCTCCAGTTCTGTACGTCGACAACAAGGCCATGATTTCCTTGTGTAAGGAGCACAGACTGGAGCACAGAACGAAGCACATCGCTCTGCGCTACTTCCTTGCTCGAGAGTTGCAGCAGCGATGTCAGCTTCGTCTTGCTTACGTGGCCACTCGGGCCAACACTGGTGATGTTTTCACCAAGGCACTTCAGCCTTGTGATCATCAGCGTTTCTGTACTGTTCTAGGCCTTGTACCTACTGTGCCTCACTTGCTTACTTCTTGACTCTGCTTGTACTGTGATCTCTATACATATACCTGCATGCTTACACTTGCTAGGTTGTGTTCACTGTATTGCTTGTTCTCCTTTATATAACTCTGCATGTGAACTGGCCTTGTTGCCATTTGCTTGTGCTCAGAATGCGTGGTGACGTCGTGATCCACCCTAAGCTTGTTTTGCCTTTCTTGACCGGTCTTGTGACCTCTTGTTCTCCCCCACTTTGCCTATGGGGGTGTGTCAAACATATATGCTATAGTCTGTCTAGGCTGTAGTGGGGTAGTTCATATAGGGTACAACACTTTTAGGTTTCCTACTTGTACCCACCTGCTTGCTAGTTCAGTCATTCCTTCCTTCACTATTCTGACAGAAATATTTTGCTTGGTCTGATTTAACTAAAACACTTGTCGAGTGTGATTCAACTCTATTTCTTCCAAAGCTTATGACGGAGGTGTTGTTCCAAAGCACTATAGTGGCACGGTCATCGCACTCCCATTCAGCCTACAAGCCTGCTCAGCTTCTGGAATTTTATGGGGAGGTGCTTCAACATGTGTTCTTCAGACCCTCAAAGTTTCAGAATTTTTGAAGCAGTTTACAAGGCATAGCAACATTTTTTGGTTTCAAGACTTATGGCATCCCGGAAGTGTGTGTTACTCTTTTTTGGTAACACCCGAGTTCACCATTTCGGCTGCTGACTCATCTACCAAGCTCTGATTGGTCTGAAAATTGTTGTGGCAGTCCTTTGCTGTATTGTGCAGGTGTTCACCGAGTTTCAGGACAACAAAGTATCGGAGCAGCACGTGACAGCTGTCGAAAGTTACTGTTCCGTAGTCATGGTGCACTGTTGGCAGCATTTCCTTTGCCACCCTTTCATTGTTGTCATGCCAATGGTGCAGGGACAGAGAATGAGACAAGAATTACAGGTGGTCAAGTGGGACTCTACCACCCTCCTTTTGAGAAGTGTGGTCTTCTTGGAAGCAGCTTGCAAGAGGGTGCAAGTGGGAAGACAAGCTGACTCATGGTTGGCTTGACTCACTATTGGTAGCCTTGAGAACAGCTCTGAACATCCAAGTGTGGTTGGCATTGCTGACCTAGCTAGGATGTTTCCCATCCTTCTCTAGCCTTTCTCCCCTAGGACTCAACCTTCTCTGAGTTCCCAGGATGGTCCCAACCCCTTAAGAGTCCCCTAGGCAATGTTGTACTTACCTCTTCCTTGCATCGATGAAACTACACGTTTTTCAGCGGAGCTTACGTTTTCATTCACTGCGTAGCGCATACACCTCTGATGAAATCAAGCAATATACCGTTGGAAAGCAGACACCTGAAGCTAACTTCTCTCCAAGTTTCAGCCTCTTATGTTATCGGAGCTAATCGTGACGGCGTTTTGAACAGAGGCAGTTTGAAGTCATCAGATTCTGCTTAGGCGGTTTCAAGGGCATCCGCGACCCCTAAGTGGACTCTAGACTATAACAGGAGGCGGTGGTGCGGCACAAACAGTGTGCTTGCTGACAGGCGAGTGACAAGTTGGGAGGGAGGTGACGGGAGGGATGTGTTGGGATGGGACGCACGTGGCAAGAGGGACCGTACAGAAATATACTGTAGATGCGAGATGCATGCGATGCGAGGGACCAGGGGGGGCTGAGGGACTTATGGGGAAGGGGGCTGGGCTGGGAGATACGGGGGATGGATATGGGGAAGGGGTTTGGGCGGGGAGAAAGGGCCACGGGATTTAGTGAGGAGAAGGGTAGGAGTAGGGCTTGAACAAGAACGAAGGGCTTGAGGGGGTGGTTGGGCTGGTGTAGAGGAGTGAGGGATTCGGGAAGGAGAGTGGTGGGGAGAATGATAGGGGGGGGCGGGGGGGAGAATGCGGGGTGGTGTCAAACGAAAAAAAACCCGCGATCTGAAATTTCAGATGAAGTATAACTCCTGCTCTGAAAAATCAAACAAGCTAAAATAACTAGTCTTATGGATCAGACGAAATAAAAATAATTGTCTAAGAAATCATATGAAAGCAAAAATGTAGGTCTGAAAATCATACCATCGGACTGATTTGGTCTGATAACCAGAGCCCTGGGTGATACGGTACAATGAGGGACGATATAATGCGACGAAACTGTCATGAACATGTATGAGCCGTCACTGCAAAACATGGCGCTACAGGTAGTATGAAACATCCAACACCTCATAATATATGACGACTGTGCACAACACCTCAGGGTGGATCTCAAGGACACCACATAATCTGAGCACAAGCAAGCGGCCACAAGGCCAGTTCACATGCAGAGTTATTATAGCAAGGACGTACACTGATCAAAACCTAGCAAGAGTAAACAAGCAGGTATAAATATATATATCAGTGTACAACAAGAGCAAGTCAAGCGACCAGCAGGTGAGGCAGAGTGGACACAAGCCCAAGAGCAATGCAGAAATGCTGATGATCACCAGACCCAAGGGCCTTGGTGAACACATCAGCAGTGTTGGCCCGCGAGGCCACGTAGGAAAGGCGGAGCTGACGACGCTGCTGCAGTTCACGTGCAAGGAAGTAGCGAAGAGCAATGTGCTTCGTTCTGTGCTCCAGCCTTTGCTCGTGACACATGGCAAGCATTGCCTTGTTGTCGACGTACAAAACTGGAGGAGAACGAGGCCGCTCCCCCAAGCCATTCAGCAGGTAGGTCAGCCAGCGTAGCTCCTGTGCAGCCATGGCCCCTGCGTAGATCTCGGCCTCACAGCTGGAACCAAGCACAGAAGAAGAAAGAATGGACCTCCACGAGACAGAATCAGAGCCGAGACTGAAGGTGTAACCCTGTGACGAACACTGAAGGTGTAACACTGTGACGAACCTCCAGTACCTCCAGCTCCAGCGCCTCCAGCACCAGCATTACCTCCAGCACCTCCACTGCCAGCAGCTCCAGTAGCACCTCCAGCACGAGCAGCACCACCAGCTCCGGCAGCTCCAGCACCTCCAGTACGAGCACCTCCATGACCAGCAGCTCCAGCACCTCCAGTACCTCCAGCTCCAACGCTTCCAGCACCAGGAGCACCTCCAGCACCTCCAGCACCAGCTGTACCTCCAGGACTTGTAGGTCCAGCACCTCCAGCACCTCCAGCACCTCTAGGACTAGTGGCTCCAGCACCTCCAGCACCAGCAGCACCTCTAGTACCTCCAGCACCAGCAGCACCTCCAGCACCAGCAATACCTCCAGTACCTCCAGCACCAGCGGTACCTCCAGGACTAGCAGCTCCAGCACCAGCACGACCGTACCCTCCACCACCAGGACTGCCTCGCCGAACGATCGACGCACGAATCGCCTGCGGCGAGAGCGTCTCAAGTAGATCAGGCTGCGGTGGCTGTCCAGCTTCAGGACCTCTAGCAGGGTCACCCACAGCTCCACCGCCACAAGGACTCAAAGTACCCCCAGAGTCAGAACCCCCAGTCGCAGCACCCCAAGAACCAGCACCCCCAATCGCAGCACCCCCAGTCGCAGCACCCCCGGTCGCAGCACCCCCAGTCGCAGCACCCCCGGTCGCAGCACCCCCAGAACCCTCACCCTCTGTCTCAGCACCCCCTGGCTCAGCACCAGCAGTCTCAGCTCCAGAGTCCACAGCAGCAGGCTGCGGAGGCGGCGAAGACGGCCGAGGTGGAAAACCAGGGGGGGTCTCCAAGCGTGGAGAGCGGCGAGTGGCCGCCGTGTCGTCAGCGGTGGGGTCACCCCCCTCAACTGGGCCAGAGGAGTCAGAAAAGGTCTCCTAAGGCTCAACCAAGGGGGCTGGGTCTACCTGAGACACACCTGAGGGAGCAAGACCCTGTGGGGGGAGGGGGTCTACCAGAGGGGGGGGCTGTAGAGAGTCACTCTACAACGGTAGTGAGCTAGACTACGAGGGTTGGCACGAACTACTAGGAGTGATCATAGCTTTGCTTAGTTTCTTAGTGCTTGCACATACATAGGAGAGATCGGCAAGAGTTTCACTAGGCAAAGTTGGAATCACAGAATGATTGAACAAGCAATGACCACAATGACTACATCAGGCACCTAGCAACTCTGCAGCTAGCCTGGTCGACCGACAGCACAGCATGGTCGACCGCCTGCCAGCGTTGCGTAGAGGAGCCGCGCCAGCACTGCAGAAAGGCAACATTCAAGCCTTCACACCCGCTGCATCTGCTCCTGATGCTACAGCAGGACGACTCTCTGCATCTTCCGTTGTCACTGCCTCCGCTGCCGCTGCCGCTGCCTCTGCTGGCGCTGCTGTGTTTGCTGTATCGGCTGCATGTGCAGCAGCATCGTCCCCGCCTCTACTGTCTATGGTAGTGGTAGCAGCTGCTGCAGCTTGCTTGAGCTCCGATATGGGTGCTTTATACGGCCGGCCTAGACGTGCCCTCCACCCACCAAAAGCACCACCACCCCCTCCGCCTCCCCCCCGAGCACCAGCACCAGCATCAGCACAGTTACCATTCACACCGCTGCTGTTCCCCGACTTCTTATCAGCCTCGGCATCAGCATCAGTAGCACTACTGCTGCTGGTAGTGGACAGAGCAGGAGAGGAGAAGAAGTGCAGCGAGGAACGAGCGCTAGCAGATCCGCGAAGGGGTGTCCCGCCTCCAGAGGAGGAAGAGGAGGAGGAGATGGAGGGTGTGCGGGCGGGAGAGAGGAAGGAGCGCAGACCCACTAATGGTGTTGTCCATCCTGAAGTGGACGGCTTCTGAAGGAGGAGCGGGTGGGAGAGAGAGAAGGTGGGAGAGAGGGTGGAAGAGAGAGTGGGAGAGAGGGTGGAAGAGAGTGGAAGAGAGGGTGTGAGAGAGCATGTGAGAAGGGGGGAAAGCAAGGAGACAGTAATGAGCAAGGCAAATGAAGAGGGCCCTCACTCACCATTCTGCCTGCCTCCATAACCAGTTGGTTTTTGAGAAATCCAAAAAATGCCTCACGCGAGGAAGACCCAGCAAGAGATGTTTTAAGAAACTCAAGAGCAGACTTGCCCAGCCCCCCACGCAATTACAAATCTCCCCGCTTGAGGTCCGATCCGAGTGAAGCAGGAAGATTTTCCAGACGCCCAAAAACACACACGCGGGGGCGCACAAGCACAAGCACACGCATGCACACACAAAAAGAAGATAACAAAAAAACATCACCTTCTTCCCGCGCCTCGCAATGTCGTCCTCCTCGCCCTCAGCCGGCGGCGGCGGCGGCGGGTGATGGCCGAGGAAGGCGATGAAGCAGCACAAAAGAAAACCCTCACCTTCCCACAAGACTCACCTTCTTCCCGTGCCTCGCAATGTCGTCCTCCTCGCCCTCAGCCAGCGGCGGCGGCGGCGGGTGATGGCCGAGGAAGGCGATGAAGCGGCACAAAAGAAAACCCTCACCTTCCCACAAGACTCACCTTCTTTCCACGCCTCGCAATGTTGTCCTCCTCGCCCTCAGCCAGCGGCGGCGGCGGCGGATGATGGCCGAGGCGATGAAGCGGCACAAAAGAAAACCCTCACCTTCCCACAAGACTCACCTTCTTTCCACGCCTCGCGATGTCGTCCTCCTCGCCCTCAGCAAGCGGCGGCGGCGGGTGCTGGTCCAGGAAGGCGATGAAGCGGCGCAGCTGCTTGAGGTATTCAGGGAAGAACTCGAGGTCGCAGTGCCGCGCGCCCTCTATGAACAGCGCCTCAAACGGCCGCTTGCACACTGCCGCTAGGCCCCTCCCATGTGACACGTCTACTACATCGTCTGCCGTGCCCTGGGGGTGAGGGGGGGAGACGAGTCAATAGGGAGTTGCAGGGGTGCAGAGGTGGAGGGATACACGGGTTGAATCAAACCGGGGTTCAAAGGAACAGGGGTTGAGTTGAGCAGGGTTCAGGGGCCAAGGTTGCAGAGGGACAGGGTAGTGCCGTGCGCCCTCTATGAACAGCGGGTCAAACGGCCGCTTGCACACCGCTGCTAGACCCCTCCCTAGTGACACGTCCACCACGTCGTCTGCTGTGCCCTGGGTGGAGGGGGGGAGAGAGGTGAGGAGAGGAGTTGCGGGGGTTAGAGGACTCGAGCGTCCACCACCGCTGCCAGGCCCCTCCCGTGTGACACGCCCACCACGTCGTCTACCGTGCCCTGGGGGTTGGGAAGAAGGGGAGAGGGAGGGAGTGAGGAGAGGAATTGCGGGGTTTATAGGAGTTGTCCGTCCGCCACATCGTCATGCCCTGGGGCGGGGAGGTGGAGGGTGGGGAAAGATGGTGGTCCGACGGAGGCTGATTAGGGATAGGGGTGGAGGGTTAAGGGCATGGGGAGGCAGCAGTCGGGTAGGGGACAACGGGGGGATGCGGAGAATCGATGAGGGTGGGGGGAGGTGTGGGTTGGGGGGATGGGGGGGAATTCGGGGGAACAGGAAAGGGAAACTTTTGAGAGATGTGAGGATGGGTGGGAGAGGGGGGTTGCAGGGATGCGAGGAAGGTCGTGATCGGAGTCAATTTGGGGAGGATTCTCAAAAGTGACTCCCATTGGAGCAACCCGCCCTGTACTTCCATGTCACGCTTGATAATATGAGGCTGATTAATGGTTTGCTTTAGGAAAAAGATGTTGTTATGGGGAAGGTTGTGGCTAACGTTTGTGTCGGTGTGTGGGAGAGAGTGCGTGCACGTGTGTGTGTGTGGCCTTGTGTGTGTGCATGCTTGAGGTGTGTGTGTGGGGGGGGAAGGGGGATGGCGGGGCGGCGTACGAGAACGCATGTGCATGTGCATGTGTGTAGAGCACTCACATGCATGACAAAAACTGGGCACTCCACTTTGGGAAGCTTGTCAATGTTCTGATGACAGAGGGGGAATGGGAGGGGGAATGGGAGGGCGAGAGGGGGACGGGAAAAGACAGAGAGGGGATGGTAGGGACAGAAGGGGGGCGGGGAGAGACAGAGAGGGAAGGGGAGGGACAGAGGGAAAAGGGGAAATACAGAGGGGGCCGGGGAGAGACAAAAAGGGGGGGGGGGGAGGAGGGGAGCAAGCAGAGAATGAAGAATCTCTTGACGTCGTATAGCATGCGGGCAGCCCCAGCTCCCTCCCGACCCTCCCCCTCCCCCTCCCCCCTCGTACAGCACGCGGAGACCGGCCTTTTGGGGCTGTGCAGCACCACGCCTCAACCCCCACGTGCACCTCTCCTCACCCCTTCCCCCGCCCTCTCTAACCCTCCCTTCCCTTCTCTCCTCATCCCACCTCTCCCCAAAACACTGCCCGCCCCACCACACTGCAGCGCCACTATCACCACTCCCACCACACCCTCCCACCACCCACCCACACACAGACAGACAGACACCTAACAACACGGCAAGTCAACTCACAGTGAAGATATCGAGAAAGAAGCTCGTCTTGACCTCGTACAGCACGCGCAGCCCGGACATGATGGGGCTGTGCAGCACCACGCCGCGCAGGCGAGAAGTGCGAGAGGCGAGGTCCACAGTGGGCCCGCTGCCCACGGACTGGCCGTAGAGGATGATGTCCTCCGGTCGAATGCGGTGCTGTGCGGTGAGATACGTGAAGGCGGCTTCTATGTCCGCGTATGTGTTGAACTCCGTGGGCTGGGGGGGTGGGGGGGGACGGAAATGGAGGAAGAAACGGACGGGTAGCAGGGGTGAGCAGGGCAGTACAGGGGAGGAAGGAGGACGCGAGGAAGGGGGCAAAAGAATCTGAACGTTGCCTGTTTGTTGAAAGCTATCTGTCTGGTGAGGCATTGGAACGGTGGAGAGTGCGATGGATGCGTGGAGAGGGGAAGGAGCAGCAGGTGCGTGCGTGCAGGCAAGGTGCATGCGAGGCGTTACGAGACGGGATGGTAATGCTCCCTATCGGTAGTGCTCTCAGTAATAAAAGGTTGTGCTGCTGCTGCTGCTGCATGAATGCTAGGCTTGCCACTCATACGTACCTTGCCCGATGAAGCACCATAACCGGTGTAGTCATACCTGTCATGAAAACACAACACAAAACACATGCATATGCACACAGGGACACCCACAGAAACACGAACCAACCCACCCACCACCAACATCGTCATTCGCCCACCGCACTCTCCGCCCCACACAGCACACACAACATGCATTCACAGAGAGAGAAAGTGACAACGGGAGAACGGCGGATTGAGGGTTAGCGGAATAACTGTGGGGTATTTTGTGGTGGAGAGAGAAGGGTGGAAGCGGAGGCGGAGGCGGAGGCGGAGGAAGCGGGTTTGGGGGAGAGGACGGAACGAGTTCAGCAGAATTTGCCTTGGCTAAGATAAGTGAGAGTCGTGAGAGCAGCAGAGAGCAGCTAACTTAGCCTCCCCTATACCAGACTGGACGCAGAGTTTGGCTCAGCTAGGCTTAGCTCGGTACAGCTCGGCTCAGCTCCTTTAACACCTCCTGCTGAGCGCGAACGCTACGAGAACAGTGTAACAAATGCCGTTATTTCAATCGCTCTCTTTCCGGCTGATCCTCTCCTGCCTTTCCACGCGTCTTTTTCCACATTTCCCCCTGTCCTCCTCTCCCCTCACTCGGTCGCATCCCCCCGCCCCCTTTCCCCACCCCTCCCCTTCTCCCCTCCCCCCTACCCTCCCTCCTCCCAACGCCCTTCTTATACCGTAACGCAGTGACGCTACCGCGCGCAGACCAGAATGGACAACCTCATCTCACCCGAGGAGATTAACTCGCAGCATGTTGCTAAGCTCCACGTATAGGTCGTGCACTTGTCCGAGATCCGCGGCGTTGCCGTGCGAGTAGAGCACAGTGAGGCGCGCGCGCGGGTTGCGGACGAACATGGCGGCGATGCGCTGCCCGCGCGCCGTGTCCAGGAACGTGACCTCCACGTTCTCCGCCGGCGCGATGTCCTCGAACCGCAGCTTGCCCGTTACCGGGTCCTCCACTATCGAGTACGACGGCGGCGTCGGCGGAAAAAACGCGAATTTCGCCGCGAGGGATGACGTCATCGCCCCCATGGCTTATGTGGCTGGTTGGATCGCTAGCTGGGTTTAGAACCGGCCTGAGTCTCGTCCCGAGCAACCAAGATTTGAAAGGTTACGAATTGGCTAAATGCTAAGGGGCAGTTATAAATTAGGCGACGCAAGACGTAGTTTACTACTGCTGACAAAACACGAGTGGTTTCGGGGATTACGACGATACGACGAACGCAGCAGACGGCGGGGAATGCGGCGGTCGATGTGGGCTACAGTAGGCGGACAATGCGGGGCAAGCGACGACGGCGAGTGTCATGACCGCCGCGGGTTGACTCGTTCTTGCAGGGTTGAAGCGCTTCGAGGACCCTGTCGAAGGGATATGTGCGCGCGCATCGCGGTAATAGGTACGCGCTTTATAGTTACTATTGGGGTTTTAAACGACTTGGAGGTGAGATGAACGGTCTTGCGAGGTTATTAGCGAGGGAACAGGCAAGAGTAAAGTGAGAAAAGTAGGACTGGGGAGACAGCGAGTCACAAGGATTATAATCTACAAAACTGCACAGTCGGTAACTCGCAAGCGGACACACATGCAAAATCCATCATCTCATTTCATAATCTAGGAGCATCCCATACCCATTGCATCATCTCCTCTCAACACCCCCTCGCTCCGAACACATCAACGTCAACACTTCGGCCGACGCGTCCCTATTCTGTCAGTTTGGAAGAAGCAGTTGGCCCTTCATCGCTCTTGACTGGCAAGATTAGAGGCTTGTGGCCCTGGGTGGGTTGTCGTGCTGTCAGCACGACTCTAATCAGCGCGATGCAGAACAGCTTTCGCTGGCGCTATGTACTGTACACTCATTTTTCACTAGGGGCGTTTCGTCTGTAAGTACAAAATGTTTGTACAACTTCAACGCATCCAGGAAGGTCCAGATGAGGCGGTTTTGTCAGAAGGTCTGCTTACAATAAGGAATATTTGGTACATCCTCTGACAAGGTCAAGGAAAACAGTTCAAGAACCGCCAGAATATTTGATAGCAACAAGGAATATTTGTGACATCCACATTGGAGACGGCTTGTGTGACAGGCCCGAACAGGAGCACGGCTCAAGCCCCGCCGGTCACATGTCGGAGAGTAGGGTGTACACTTCATGTGGATACCTCCCTCCGAGAATATACAATGCACACGCCATTCCCTCAGTGGAGTGGGGTGTACCATTTCGTGCAAACGGGTCATCGGCCTTCACGGACATGTGAACAAGGTGTACGCTTGGAATTGCCAAACAAACGGAAGGAATTGCCAATGCCATCCATCAAACATCCTGTCCTGAGCCCTCGCTATGGGTACGCCGGGCGGGCACAAAATGCCGCACAGAAGGAAATGTCGCGCTCGATTCTGGTCTGGACCAACTGCCAGGGGGCTCAGAAATGCAATCAAACGGACTTTGTTATTTTGTCCCGTAGCCACGGCCACGAGCAACTAGCCATGAACCTCCTCCGCCCTGCCATCTGGTTCAGTTTGATGTGGAAGGAGATGTGGAGGCAAGGCTTGGAAGCCTTGAAATTGGCCCATATCACAGAAATCTGAGGCTCGGAACCCTGAACTTGGCTCGGAAGACCTGAACAAGGGAGTTAAAGACCCAACTTGAAGTCTCGGAACCGATACGTACCTTTTCATATTTGCCCGATTGTTCACTTCGGGGATGCTGGCTACTGCCCCACCCCTTCTTTTGGGCCACTTGCTCGGACGTGCGGGTGGGTGCTTTTGGTTTCAACGGGCAGGTGGCCCGTCACCCACATTCGGTTCGGGAGGTTACCGAAAAGGCTGGGCTGCTGGAACATTGGACCCCTACGTTTTTTAGGGCGCATTCGGAGCTCCAGTCAGACCTTCCAGTTCATTGGTTTCTAAGCTTCTAGGGCCACTTCTCATCTTCCACAAATCTTCTTCCCTGTACAGCCTAATCTGCTAATTTCACACTTTGTAACCTTTCTTTAACACCATGGCTCTATTCGACAAGCCCTTTGACAGCGCCTTCGTGACAAGGGAAAATATGCCACTCGTAATCAACAAGGGTCTCGATAATATGTTTGGTAAAAACATAATGGGCACGGTCATTGCAAAGAGTGTTTTCACGTGTTTGATAAAACGTTTCACGGAATCAGTCACAGTCAACTGGGAAACAATAACGCGAATGGTCACTGATGAAACTCCCACCCAAAAAAGATAATACCCAGAATGAACCTGGATGCATTTTCGGATGAATCAACCCTAAACACAACTCGCCATGTGTTTAAGGTTGATCCGTTCCCAAACCGCATTCGATTCCGATTGGGTTTTAGTTCTTTGATAAATTAGCTGATTGGTTGGGCGCGGGCGGGAATTTTGTAGAGCTTAAATAAGTTTTGGCGGGAGTTACATGTGTGACTATTCGAGTAATTTCTTACCTGTTGTTAGTGACTGAATCCGTGACCCCACTTACCAAACCCGTCGGCAAACCCGATAGAGTGACCGTACGAGTTATTTTTTTACCATTCACGTTATCGACTCCCAAGCTGGTTACTTGTGACTTATTTCTGTTAGAAGAATGAACGAGAATGAATGAACTATGAAACAGTTTGGCACAAGTACTAACCCTAATTGGATTGTACCCCTTATGAGCTACCCCACTATAGCTTACACAAAGTAAGCAATATAATATTCTGACACACCCCCATAGGCAAAGTGGGGGACAACAAGTGGTCACAAGACCAGTAAAGAAAAGCAAAGCAAGCTCAGGGTGGATCACAAAGTCACCACACAGTCCGAGCACAAGCAAAGGGCCACAAGGCCAGTTCACATGCAGTGTTATATAAAGAGCACAAACAGTACAGTGATCATAGCCTAGCAAGAGTAAACATGCAGGTATCTATACAGATCACAGTACAAGCAAAGTCACGCAGTGAGCAAGTGAGGCAAAATAGGCACGCAATAACGCAGTATCGCAGAGCGATGTGCTTCGTTCTGTGCTCCAGTATGTGCTCCTGACACAAGGCAATCATGGCCTTGTTGTCTACGTACAGAACTGGAGGCGAACGAGGCTGCTCTCCCAAGTCAGTCAGCAGGTAGGTGAGCCAGCGTAACTCCTGTGCAGCTATGGCCCCTGCGTAGATCTCAGCCTCACAACTGGAACTGAGAACCGAAGACGAGCGGGTAGACCGCCAGGAAACAGAGCCGGGACCGAGGCTGAAGGTGTAACCCTGTGACGACCGCTGCGTAGCCAAGTCGTCAACCCAAGAAGCGTCTGCGTGACCAGTGAGGACAACTGGACCCCGTCCTCTAAGCACAAGCCCCATGCCCGACGTACTGCACAAGTAACGCAGTACCCTCTTCGCAACATCCCAGTGCATCTTTCGGTGCCTATCGGGAGCCACGTAGCGAGCCAGGAGGTTGAGAGGGTACTCGAGGTTAGGTCGTGTGCACGTCATCACGTACATGAGGCAACCCACAAGCTCTGGGTACGGACCACTTGGCTCTACGGACTCGTCCGAAGGTGGAGCTGAGAGCGAGTGGCCGGTAGACAGAGGAGTGGGCTGTGGTGAGGAGAACAGGAAGCCGAAGCGCTGAAGGACCTGGTGCACCATGTGTGACTGAGTCAGTGTGATGGTGCGCCGTGCTCTGTCCCGGGTGATCTGCAAGCTAAGATAGCTGCGCAGTTCACCAAGGTCAGTGCAGGTGTGTCTCTTGTGCAGCTTCGACTTCACAAGGGTCAGTGCCTCACTATCAGCAGTGGCAAAAACGAGGTCGTCGACGTACATGAGGACGTAGAACGGCAGCGGCGACGTATCGGTGCGTAGAAATAGCGACGGGTCAGCAGTAGAAGGAGTAAACCCCAAAGCCGCAAGTGTAGTCCTCAGTGTGTCGTGCCACTCGCGAGGCGCCTGGCGGAGACCGTAGACTGGCCGCCGGAGGCTCCATTGGGTACCTGCAGGAAACGACCCAGTAAAGCCAGGTGGGCGGCGCAGCCAGATCCCCTCGTGCAGGCTGCCCTGCAAGAAAGCTGTACTGAAGTCCAGAGAGTGCAACTCGTAGTCACGCTGAGCAGCGACGTGCAGCAACACCCGAAGAGTGGTCATTTTCGGGGTGGGGGAGAAGGTCTGGAAGTAGTCGACCCCCTGTCGCTGACTGAAGCCTCTAGCAACGTAACGCGCCTTGAAGGCAGGCGGAGAACCCGGCGGCCGCTTCACCCTGAAAATCCACATGCCATCGACTATGTTCGCCCCACACGGGGGAACTGCGTCAACGTAGGTGCTTGTGGACTTCCAGGATGCCATCTCGGCGTCCATGGCTGTTTGCCATTGGGAGGAGTAAGGACCCGTAATCGCCTCTGCATAAGAGCGCGGGGTCGGGATGTCTGGTGCATCCGGGTCTCCCTTAGGGGCAAGCAGCTTGGAAGCGAAACGAGGTACAGCAGCTGCAAGACACTCAAAGTTCTCCTACCTGTGCTCAAGGACGTCCGTGCCAAGAGCACACTCACCCCCGACGGACGGAGGACTGGCAGACTCAGAATCAGCAACAAGAGCAGTGGCGTAGTCTAGACGAGAGGCAGCAACAAAGTCAACCAACTCGGCAACGAGGGCAGATGCAGCAATGGACTCAAAAGAAGGGTCAGTGACAACAGTGGCGAGGAGACAAGAGACAGTGGGAGTGGCAGCACGAGCGAGGTTGGACTCAAGGTCAGGGACGGCAGGAACAGAGGACTCAGGAGGAGGCAGCAGAGGAACACGCAGTGGAACAGAGGAAGGACGAAGTGCCATAGTGTGCGTGCCGGGGACAGGAGGAGGACGCGGACGAGGAACACGACGACCAGTGCGAACAGCGCGAACAGGCGAGGCAGGACAAGACGCAGGCTCACGACGCTCTGTAAGACCTCCGGTCTGCTCAGTGTAAGGAGAAGGAGCAGGCAGTGGGGAGGCTGGATGTAACGGCGGCTGTGACGGGTCAGGCAGTGGACACAGTAAGGGAGGAGTAAGACCAGTAGAAGACAGGAGACCAAGAACCTGCTGA